CTTTTAACATAGAAAACTATTTATGAGCAGGGAATGAAGAAACCGTCAGGGAAAAGGAGCCAAAAAAAAAAAAAGAGACAAAATGGGCATGACAACTTGTCTATACTTGAACATCTGACCTGTTAGTTGGTCGTCGCCTGCAGCAGGGGCGATGCGAATGTATGGTGTTGTAAGCTGAGTCACGATTATCGCAGCTAAGGCAAAGGAAGATTTCCAGGTCAGCATGCATGAGGGAAAAAAAAGCCAGACTGAAGCTAGACCAGCAAGAAGAATCTTGGTCAATAGTTTATTGTCTGAACTTCTTACAAATAAAAACCAAAAAAACTCCCACAAGTTCTTTTTCATGTTCAGTTGTTAGTGTGGTTATTCTGCAAATTAAAAGGCTTTTTTTCATTCAGGAAGAGGACTCAAAGCACATTATTTACATATAATGAATTTGAGGAAACTGGAGACTGACTCTGCCAGTCACAGCACTGGGCTCTAAGTAAAAGTCAACTGCTTATTCAGGTTACTCCAGTCTTAACTTCTCCAGGTAGTTTGAACTAATTTCACTTTTTGTTTTCCTATTTCATAACAGCATATTTTTCCTATAATTCTTTTTAAAGATAATTTTTATGTGAAATATTTTTGAGCTAGCTAAGATTCATTTTTCTTGTATCCTCTTGGGTCTTTGTTCTGATAATGCATACACTGCGCATACACTTAATTTTCAGCACACAGAGAATGACCACTGAGAGTTGGCATGCTTTTAGTTAGGTATGTATGTAACCGTTTGAGTTTCAAGTTCATGTTTTGCCACTAAGACAACAAAAAGCTGAAAAACCTGAATTCTTTGTGTGCCTCAAATATTCAGACTTTTCTGTCAGAGCTGTAACAATCACTGACTGGTATAGATAAATATTACCATGGCTCACATTAATAAAATCTCATATTTCTTTGTTTGCCAGCAGTTCTATGATTGCCTCTAAATGGTTAAGCACACTATGATACATATATATTAAGGAATATAAAAAAAATTAAAAGGTCAGATCCAACATGATGCAGCTGGAGAATGATGGAAAGAAAAAATATTGGAAAATTAAGGACAAAATTATATGAAAGATCACTCATTTACATAGAACAGCCTGGGTGCTATTAGAAATGTGGCAACGAGTGAGGAAAATAGATCATCTACCATCTGCAGACAATTAAACTCAAAACTGCTGCTGCATAATATTTTGAAATATCCCTCTGCAACACTGAAATGCAGTGTTGATAGTAGCTGCTAGAGTACTGTTGCTATTGGATTTAAAATATTATAATATCCTTTTCTCTCTCATAATTAATGAAAGCCGTCCAATATTGCAAAATTAGAACAACGATGTCTCCCTCTTGAGAACTGGATTCCTAGGAGATAACCAAGATGTTTCTATCCAGACAGTGTTGTAAGTCATATCAGGAAATACAATCTTAATATAAATCACAAAACACCACAAAGTTGATGGCAATAAACTTGGAGGAGTTTTGGAATGTTTTCAACTTCATCTGCTGAGATTTTACAGTCATTTAGCTCGAAGAAAGAGTAGGTATATGAAAGCCATATTTCAAGCAAAATATGACAACCTTTATTACCACTGGTACAAAAATCTCTTCCTGATTTTTGTTTGTTTGTTTGTTTAATTATCTTGTCAAAAATAATGGGAGTTGAAACCCTGCAGTCTCCACATTTGTATATACACCAAGTAGTCACAGAGGTCCTAGAAGCCTTTCTCTACAAAAAAACTAAGATGAGAACCTCTGCATCACAAAAATATGCTGTCTGATCCTTCTCCTAGCAAAGTCAGTGGCAAAGGTTCCCTTTGACTTCAGTAGAAGGAGGAGAACTTTCAGCTCTATAAAGCCCAATATTCTAATCCTAAATTATACTTACAATCATTGCAATAGGGATTTTTATATGATCTCTAAAAAACACATTTAATGGACGTTTCATTGATATAAATGTAATGGTCATAAACAAGAACATTTTTAAAAATGTTACAAATTGAGGTTGTTTAAAATATATTTGATGGAATGAGAAAGTATTATCCAGCTACTGACCCTGCACATGCATTTGACCCAGTAGAGTCAGGCTGTACTTTTCTAGAGGTAGGCTGTACTTTTCTAACAAGAAGCCTGTGGATATGATAATAGGCTATCTGGTGCACTTTGGCTCTGATCCAGCAACACAGTTTAGTGTGTGCCAGTTGAGCACATGCTTGACAGTAAGCACATACCTTATTCCTATTGACATCAACTGGAGTGAAGATTGAAGTACCTATTCAAGGGTTCTGCTGGATCTGGGGCAAGAACACTCTGTATCTTTGTATTACACTTACTTATTTATTTTTATTACAACAACAAATACAAAAGCATACAGTGGGCCATGGAATGAACACTACAAAACTCAGCGATAAAACAAAATCTCAATGATCTTAGGAAGGTCTCAAGGGCACCAACAACTTTTAGATTATCTGGAGTTGGGATAATTAAAGGAAATACAGCTAGCAAATGATATAGCTATGTTCATGTCATGTTCTGAACTCCCATATTGATCCTGAGGGCAAACTTCGAACAGGCTAACCACGCACCCCTCATACATACAACGAGGTGGCTTAGCCAAGCTCAGCTGCTCAGTGGAGCAGCTTGGAGGTTGTCTTGGGTGACCTGGATGCTAGGAAGGGCTGCCAATGGGCTCGATGCAATCCTCAAATTCCCCGGGAATGGAACTGCAGAAGCTTTCAAGAAGAAAGCAGACAGTTGACTGCACTGTCACGTTTGTTTTAGAGGATATACTTTATGGCACAGGTTTTTATCCAGTAAAATACTTACATGTCTACTTTAAGACAGAATATTTGTAATGTAGTTAGTGCTCAAAATTAGGTACATAACTGGCTTGATTAGGGCCTAAAAGCATATGGTTTCCTCCATACATATTAAATTCCAGCGCACATCTACTAACTCCAATAACCTACACAAGGCTGTAGATATTTTCAGGACCAGACCTTAATTTAAAAGAAGATTGAACATATACATGAATGGCCTAAAGCACTTTCTTTTAGCTTTAAAACCCACCAAACTTGAACTTTTAAAGATAACAGAAGCCTAGAATACAAACATTTCAGAAATGTTATTAGTATACAAAAACTAGATGTTGTACTGCAGAGCGTTTGCAACTTTATTTGTAAGAAGTGCTGTAATAAATAGATGGACACAACAAGCACATGATAGAGCTTAAGTAGCTTACTGTCTAGTAGCTATACTAGCTACTAGAAAACTACCACAAAACTCTGCGGAAAACAGTGCGTATCTGTAAGACATCAGGCAAAGCGGTCAGAGCAGCTTTTGTTTCCTGGGGTACAGGCAATGTGAATGTTGTACTAAGCTGTTTGGGGAGCTGTGGACAGAGGTCCTCACAACAACCCTTCACCTTATTTTATAGGCTTCACAAAGGTATTATGAAGAATTCTGAAACATGCTTTTGAAACAGAAATGTATGGAGATTTGTTTAAAATAAAAGCTGCATTCGTCACATCTCCATTGCCAAATGGGTTAGCTCAAAGTAGGTTGTTGCTATGGCAGCTATTCCAATCCATAAAGTTATCCTTGCTTCTCAAATGAGAGTAAGATTTTTCAGTCAGTCAAGTAATTGAAATAGTTGATTAGGAATACAAATCTTCCAAATAATTTAAAATCCATTCCTCTAATCACCTATTATGATTTCTGAGGTAATGTAGTCCACTCCTGGTATCACTGAAGCTACTGGAAAACACAAACCACAAGATTCCACTTGAATCTGGAATTAATCTCTCATCTACATTTTATTGGGTTGTAGTTTAGATATTTGAAAGTTTTCTATGGTTTAGTAAGCACTCAGTTAGTAAATTAGAATTAAAAGACTTCCTTTGGTTTAGAAAAAAACCACCCGGGAATCAATTCAAAGAGCCATAAAAAATGTATATTTGTCACATTAGGGAGGATCCAGCCTTTCAACAGAGGCAACTGTATGCTAACATTTCTGTTACTTTTAAGTAATGAGATTCTCATCTATCCTACTTAGATTTAGTGGTGGTGGTGGAATTGTGAAGTCTACATGTAAAGGAAATCATGGTGGAATCAGTTATGTTAGGGTTAGTCACTATGAGATATGCATGATCTCCTGCAAGGAACAGTGGTACAGGGATGAAGTAGGTTTTGTTTCATACTCTCATCGGGTGCCCAAACTGCAAGGTGGTATTACCTGTTCCTACTCACAGCAGTACTTTCTTTCCTTTTCCTCTATTACAAGCTCCAAATAATCATACTATCCCATCACTTCTTTTTCAGTCTTTGAAGTTGCCACCAGCTAGAGGTACTAAAAAGGTGAGACTACAAAGATAATCACAGACAGATTATTGCCTCCAAAGTTAAATATATCAGCAGCACGTTTGTCTTTCCCTGTCTGGGGATTAAACCTATAGCTAGCACTATCTCAATTACATAAACTTGTCTCACAAATTGTAGTATCATGTGCTGACAGACCAATAAATATAGCTGATCCGTACCATGAAAATGAAGAACATGATTTCTCCACTTCTCTTTCATAAAGCAATTAAGATAAGATAATTGCTTACGAGTAAGGAGTAATTTTTCACTATGGATGTATAAGCAGCTAGTATGCACTCTGCAATTGGCAATTTTACAACTCTACTATATATAGAAAAGTCCAAAATATTTATTGTGAGATCATATAAAAACCCACAGAATATATTTTAAAACCCCTCTGTTCAAGTAGACAACTAAAAATGAGCAATATGTTTATTATTAAAAACAAACAAACAAACTTCCTAAATCTCAGCTAGAGATGCAAATGAATAATTTAAAATTCTGTAATAGGTTTAGTGATGCCTTTTAACAATATAAACACTTCTGGAAGTTTGCAAAGACCATGTGAAGGAAAGGTCAGCAAGCTGAAATACAGAATACATGACATAATATGAACATACCTTTTGTGGCTACCCTGACGCAGTCGATTTTGGTTTCCTGTGTCAAATAAAGAGGAAAAAGGTCATATCTTGTGTTTCTAAGCAAAGAAAGTCATCCATGGTTCTATTCTTAAAGGTACTGATAAAATGTCAGAGAAGTGTTCATTTAATGTGCCTCACTACATATTTAACTGCTTATTATGCAACTCCAATGTGCTTTCATAATATGGACAAACACTGCTTGGGTATGGTACATAAATATTTCACTTAAGATTCCTCTAAAAGTAGAAAATATGTGAAAGATAGTCACAAGAGCACAGGCAAGTGCTCAGCTTTTTTACTTTGTCAACATAATGACTTTGGGAGATTTTTCTTTTTCTTACAGATAGTATAGTTCGAGGTATCATGCTAGACAATTTTAGAAAGAAAAAATAATCAACGGTGTTTCACATTTCTGCACTGTCAGTGCACTATGAAAGAGGGACCATTATGGTTTCTGGCAGAAAACATTTCCAGGCTGTCAGCACAGATAGCCAAAGCTTATCAAGAATTGAAAGGCTCTGGGTAGGTCTGTCCAGGAAACGAAAAACAATTCCAGGAAGAATTAGTCCGATGAAACATGATCTGCAAAGACCTTTTTACACACTTTTCATTTTGGTTCCTTCTACTTATTTTTCTGTTACCGTTTGCAGAAAGAGGGACAAAAAGTGATTTCTAATTCAGTCAGGGCAACCAAATGAGAAAATGGGAGTTCACGACGTTACAAACTAAGGTAATGGGACTGGACAGGCTAAGACAGATGTGCTAAAATCCACAATCAAGTTTGGCTTAAACTTAACAAAAGAAATCACAACGCTCTCCTCTTCAAAGTAAGAAAACAAAACCAACAAAGAATGAAAGAAAAGAGCCAAACACACTCATTGGACAGCTTTTAGATAATAAGACAGAATGGTAACGCACTACTTTGCCTTCTCACTATTGACAAAATGGGCTGTTCTCCCCTCCTCTTTCCTGTAACCCTTAATCATTGAGCAATATTGTGCTAGGAAAACTGTTATTTTTTAAACTCAGTGTGTTAAATTTCACGGTTACTTCATTTTCTCATTAGCAACTAAATTGGGCATCTTGCTAGTTGGTGCCAATCATCTATTTACATACAAATACTGTATAAAACCACACCTGTCATAAGACTTACCCCATTGGCTCGGCTAGCAGCTTGAAAATAGATGCTGTAGCTCTTATGAGGAAGAAGCGGAGTGTTCCAGAAACCACTGTATGTTTTGTTATCACCAATAGTAAAAGGCTGAGCAGATTGTAAACCATTGGCTGGAAATTCTGCAGCAAAGTAGTATTGAGAATTCAAAAGCGAGGCATTCTGGAAATGAATAGGCACTGGGTAGCACTTCAGGATTTCAGTTGTCTTTTTGGTCCTCCGTGGGCGTTCTTCTTCAACAACTATTTGATAGACACTAGAGTGTAGAAAGGAAAGAACAAAGGAAAAACACGGGTTATTTTAAGACTTGGGCAGTCAACTCATTCTGAAACTGTAATAGCATACCAGTATTTATGGAAAAAACCCTGCTAAAAGCAAAGCACATCGGAAGAAAATGTCATTTTGATATTCAGGTGTACGAGTTTGTGGAATAGCTCCATGCTTTCAAACAAATTCATTTTGTTTTGGAAAAACAAAATTAGCCATACACACCACAGCTTTTCATATAGCAAATGCACAGAACACTTTCTTGTTTGAACTCTTGTACAGAAAAAACTTGCTTCATTAGTGCTAAGATGTAGAATTGAATATTATTTTGTTCACATAAGTAAGTATAAAGCTGCAAGATTCCATTCTCTAACCTGTTTATCTTGTCTAAATGAAATGAAATCAGTAGTAAGATAAAAATGAAGAAATAAACTACAAAGAGACAGGGAACAGTATTTGCTTAACTGTTGACATTATAACTATTTACAAAAGCACATATAGAGTAAATTACAGTCTTTTAAAATTTCAGTGGCATATTGACTGTTACTGAACAAGAATAGAACACTTTCTGACAGAAGTTATTCTCACTCAGCAAAGCACTTTTACACTTCTTAGAGATAACCATATTTTTAAGTGTTTCTGCATTCTGCAAAGCAATTCAGTTTCTACTTGCATTCTTTGCTGTACTGGGACCTACAGGGAACCGTCCATCCCTCTCCACTGTAAAGGTGTTATGGACATTCAAGCAGGAACAAAGAAATTGTGATTTCTGCTGTATATGCAAACTGTGTAATCATTATACCCTTGCAGTTGCTGTAAAAGCCTGAGTCAGTGCTTTCAAATTTGTGAAGTGGGAAGTCCATGTCTCTAAAGAGGACTGGCTTGCAAGTTTATTGCTTCACTGGGGACCAGTGATTCTTAATCATTATTTGTCTCCTGGAATCTTGAATCCCAGTAAGCAAGTCAGTACTGGTAACTGATGTTAAAGCGGCAATGTGTCCACATTTTTGCACATCACCTACATCTAATAACAATTTACGATCTTTTAAGTTGATAATTCATAAAAAGCAGCAATCTCTGGGAAGAGTATGTGTCTTAAAGATGAAATATCCACAGAGTCTTCTGACATGTTGTTCCCACTCCATCATCTGTAGGTAGATGATTATGTTTACAGCAGACTCTGCCCAAAGCACAGGGGCACTCGGGCTGGGTCTCTGCAAGTCTCAGTCTAGACCCAACAGGGTTTATTGGCTTAGTCATATCACTGAACAGCTATAGCTATTCCCCTTCTGGTTTAGAAATAAAAGAGATGACTCTGTGCAGTCACCAAGCCAGCTCATAGCCAGTGAGCTCCTGCACCTGCTTGGGCTCTGCTAGACTCAAGTTGCTTTGAGCGCTGGCATAGAGCTCTCCAGCTCTAGCACTCTCTGGAGCCTTACCGACTTGGTGCACAACCAGACTAGACTGCTTCTACACTCGAGCTGCCTTTGCACGTTTAGATAATGCTGTGTGCTTGAATGATGTCCCATCAGTGGAACTGTTCAAGGTCACAATGGATGGAGCTTTGACCAACCTGATCTAGTAAAACATGTCCCTGCCCACAGCAGGGGGGGGTGGACTAGACGATCTTTAAAGGTCCCTTCCAATCCAAACCATTCTATGACTTCATGATTCTATGACAGCATGATGCTAGGTTTGCAGAACCTTCATAGCTGATTATCACCAAGAGGCAGAAGAATGGCAATTCTCTTGGCCACCTTACTGTTTTTTATCAGACCTACTGATCATATGCAACAGACTGCATTCATTACATGTTTAAGATCTAGCATCTCCAGTAGGAGATGCTGCACTTCCTATGCTCACAAAAAATGCCCAGAAAATTAACACTGAGAATGCTTAATACCTCTTTTTTTTGCCCGATTAAGACTTTCACTATGGTGGAGATTTAGCTTAAGACACTTAAATTAAAGTGTCTTCATGAAGATGTCTACACATCTGTAAACTCCCATTACAGTCACTGGAGAGCTACTCAGTACAGTCAACAGATCTTAAAGATCTGACCAGTGAGGAGGCATCTACTTTTGGGTCAATTTAATTGCTGTCTACACTCCACTGACTATAATTACTAAATACTCAGCTCACATGTAAACATCTACCAGTGGACATCTAAATTTAGATGTTTTAATCTGATGCTGAACCCCATGCAGAAATCTAACCATGTATAAGTTTGGTACAGCCAGGGAGACAAACAAACGTCTTGGGGGTCCAGTTGAAGGCCACTGTCTGTACATTTTGCAGATCTGTGCAATAAAGTCTACATATCTATCAGAAAGATTTTCATTAGTTGATTAATTCCATGCTGAGTAGTAAATGAAGGTCAATACATGGCAATCTTTCTTTCATCCTATGAAAACTGATCTGTAGAAACTAGCCATGAAATATCTACATTACACTCTTGTTTTTTCGCTTCCAAATCAATGTTTGACATGATTTTAGCAGTTAATTTTCTAGAACAAAACACAGTTGCTTAGAACTGGGTTTCCAAGCTAATTTGAAGAGACCATGTTGCCTCCTCTAACTACTAATTTACAGTGTATCTACAATAAATAATGTCTGCAAATTTAAATAGAGTATTGGAAAAAAAGTAGAAGGTGATTTAAACATCTATTCCTGCAAGGCACTGAAGCTGGATACACTTGCCTAATACTGCAGCAAAGATGAGAATCCCTCAGTTTCACTAAAGCATGATGGATAGTAAACTAAGTTATTTGGCTGTCGCCTTCAGGACAGTATTGTTACCTTTTTTTATTGCAGCAGGACTGAATATAAGAGGGACCTCAGACCAGACAAGGTAATATGACCTGTTTCAGTACTGGTTGAAATAGGGATTCTTTTCATTTTTCACTCAGTGATTAAAGCTAAAGATTGTAGATATTTTAGAAACAAATTTATCATTTAAATGCTCCTTTTCCTCCGGCAAATTCATGTTAGTTATACTACATGCACTACTCCTTGTATATTACATTTTAAATGCCTGCCATCTATTCATCTTCAGATACATTAAAAAAGAACTAAGTTGACTGGAGCAATTTCAAACTCAAAATGTCTTTTCATCCTTACGCCACAAGACAAATTAGATTTGCAAGCATCTAGACCTCAAATCTATTTGCTCTTTAATAATTTAAGCACCGAAAGGTCAAGCAGCTCTTTTCTGTTCCCCTTTATCAAAGTCCAAGTGCTAATGAAAAATAACTAAATCCTATCTGCTGCCCAATTTCCACACACTGCTGTTTCTCTGATGTAAATTAACACATTATAAGCACCTGGGTCAACAGAAACCTGACAGAACTTTGAGTGATACATTTTAAATTTGTACAAATGAGATCATCTTGCTAATGAATTTTACAAAATTACCCCAATTACAATTATAATCCAAAAGCTTCCTCTAATTCTTACTATTAAAATTGCTTTCTTTAATACGTAACAGCTGAATTGCCTACTCTGAAAAGAGTTCAAGCTTAGTGAATTGAGCTAGCACTGCATCAGGATTCTATTACTCCTCTTACATATTAGTCAGATTTCCTGCTTGTTTGAAGTTGCATTATTCCTTTTCCATACCTCTGTATTTCAGAGAATAAAGTCTTCCTACCTGTAATCCAAAGAACAAAATCTACACTACAGTGAAAGCTGCCAAAAGCATAGCGGCTATTGGTAGAACTTAGATCAATTTTTCTAAAGGAAAGAAATGCAATTTAAGTTGAATTCACGTTACACAGTTCTACTATAGAATTCCAATGCCTTGGAAATTGAACACAAAATCTAATTTTATATAGACTGAAACTTGCTGTTGCTTCAAGAAAGGAACACATGGGAATTATTTCTAACAGGATTCAAATATTTCAAATTTGGGGATTAAAAAAGGTGGAAAAGAAAAAAATTATGTAATTTTTAAGATTTTTTTTATTTTAACAATTCCAAAACAGTTCCAAATTTAAATGATTATGTGGAGATACAGATCTGAACATAATAAGGACTGTAATTTTGCTTAGAAATTAGACACATTAGGCTTCTCACATAGTTACTGAAATTGGGTTGCTTAAATTAAAATGATCTGTCAATGTCTGCTAAATATACCGATTTTTTTTTCAGACAGAGTTGAAAAAGAGACATGAAAGAAGAAAGAAAACATGTTAACGCAGTAATCAAAGATGCTAAGAATACTTAGACAAATGAAACAAACAATTCAAACAATTCAAAAGACTTAAGTGTATATCTATTAAGTACATGAAATAATGGGGTTTAGTAAATTGCTGAATCAGGACATTATTCCATATTACTGGAATGCAGTAAATCAAATTTTAATTAATCAAAATCTCATTCAAAGTGACAAAATAATTTTCCATGAAGACCCTATTGGATACAAGCACGAACTTCAGGATTTTTAATACAGAAGTCCTTAACGTGTACAATCTAGGTATTTATCAATTCAAACTTATGAATTTATAATTACAGCTCCACCAAAAGTAATTCCAAATCTAAACCAAAGGGAAAACAAGCTTAATTACTTCATTATTGAAATGTTAGCTCTATTTTTTTTTTCTCTGTTAAACAGCCTTGATGCTTCACCAAATTGAAGCCATAAAGCATTTTTTAAAATTTATTTTACAAAATAAATTTAGGCCTAAGGACTGAATCTAGACTAAGATCATCTGAATTTATTTACTAGTCTTAAAACAACTGTTGTGTGCGATCCAAGGCAAGTCAATTAAATATGTTGTGCCTCAGTTCTCCAGCTGTAAAATGAGAATAAGAAAATTTTTTATTCCCTCTGGACTGTTTCAGCAGTTCAAAACTAAAACCTCTTTAAGACTTTCTTTTTCATTACTCTTGAAAAAATAGGGGGTTGTTTCCTAGTAAATGTACAAAGCCTGCAAAGCTGTTAATCTCCACTAACAGTGCCCTGATTAGCTGTGTAAGCTCTTGGGCTGT